ATCTCTGTGTTGAGTCCGCGCCGCCACTCATCAAGGTCCAGCGATCGCACCCGGGACAGGTGGGTGCCCAAGTTCCTGTGGATTCCCGAGCACTCGATACATATCAGGGCACCGAGGTTGAGGCTGGCCCAGTCCGGATCTGCGTGTGTCAAAGCGACAGCATCAGTGGCGCTCATGTAAACAGTTTGAAACATAGAATACAGTGACCCACTATCGGTGAAACTCCACCACCATACTGTAAAAACATTTTTTTCTATTTCTGACATCCAATTTAAAACCCATGTAAACTGACTCAAACACATAAGTCAGTCAACATGTCAGTATTTGAACACACACACACACACACACACACACACACACACACACACACACACACACACACACACACACACACACACACACATCTGCTCACATGAGCGACCACAGTGGGGAGGGTCACACACACACACACACACACACACACATCTGCTCACTTATGAGACCACAGTTTGGAGGTTGGATCTGGAACAGGTTCGGCGGATGTCTGAGATCAGCAGTGAGAGTGAAAAGAATCGAGGTTATTTCCCAATCTGGCAAACATTAGGGAGACTGGAACACGGTTGGGGTCACATGGAAAGGTTTGTGTGTGTGCGAGTGTGTGTGTGTGTGTGTGTGTGTGTGGGGGGGGGTGATGATGTGATGCTCAGGCGAAGCAGTGATGTTGAGGGTGTTTTGAATAGCTCACTGGGGAGTGTGAAGATGCTACAAATAGCTAAATTGATACGTAGTGACTCGAGAAGAAGAAGACTGGGGAGGGTCCGCGGTTTAAGATAGGAAACAATTGAGGGTGTTTTGAATAGCTCACTGGGGAGTGTGATGATGCTACAAATAACTAAATTGATACTTAGTGACTTCGAGAAGAAGAAGAAGACTGGGGAGGGTCCTCGGTTTAAGATAGGAAACACTCAAATGAAAATCAGTAAGTATGGCGGCTATGACATTTTCTCATCCATGAACTATAGTTCATTGTAACTCTCTGTTTATAGTGGACCCTCAAAGGTCGAAAGTAATCCACTCAAAGATGCAGACCCACACGCCTCAGCGTGCCACCCAGAATGCGCATATCGCTGAAGTGAGAGTGGATGATGAGCATGATGATGAGATAGAAAGTAGATGACTGAATCATGCATGCTGAAGAGGAACAATCAACTGATGAAGAAGAATCTAAGGAGGAGGACCCAGTTAACATTGAATGTTTCCAGTCAAAAGATATACTCTTCCAAAATTAAAGCGTGTAAGTTAAAAAAAAAAGTTTGTCCACCAAGTAAACCCTCCAAAACACAATGTATAGACTTCTTTCTTTTAACTCTCTGTGACGCTACTTCGTTTTATGATTTTAACGAACATAAAAAGTAATTCTACTCCGCCGTGTTTAGGATTCCATTGTTTCTTTTCATGCAAATTCCCATGTGTCCGAGCTGCACATTTTTAGCATGATGCAAATTCAGCAACAGCAAGCATGAATGTATTTGCAGACAAACCTACCGGTAGATTAAAGTTTGTCCCCCCCCGCATCGCTTGTCTGTTTTGGTTTTGCAAGGCTGATTTGAAAGACATTTAATTATTGAAATGCAATTAGTGCAGTGCTTGGAAGAAATGGTTAGGACACATAGTTACAAATGGATACACACACATTGGCAATGTGCATAAGACACATCCAGTAAAAGAGGTCAGAAGGGCGCAGGCAACATATCAGAAGAGATTAACATTGATTGCAATGTGTGTGGGATTGACACACAGTGATTAGACATACCGTATCTTAATCCGCTGTATGCGTGAAAGTGAGATTAGTACTGAAATTGTAGGCGGGTTTGAATGCAAGGAGAATTTTGTGGACACTGCACAACAATTCTAAATATGACATGGTGGATTTCCAGTGTAAAATATGAAATAACAGAAGTCCAACATGTTTTAATCCCTTTATGATACTGATCGAATTGGATAAATAACACTGGATCTAATGTCAAATTTCATCACACAGTTCAAGGTTACATACATTTTAAATGAAATGTAATTTATTTAATTCAATGTTTAACTCGGACAAAAAGCTCTTTTTTTGTCAGATTTAGACCTGTAGAAAGCATTAACAAATATCATGCGTGTGTATTTGTGAGCGTCTGCGCGCGCGTGAGTGCGTGTGAGGGGTGGGGACAGGATAGGACCACGATATTCCAATCAGCTTCTTAAATTGACACACAACTTCTTTGCCAAGTAATTTAAACACACGAATGCTCACGAATGCAAAGACAAAATTTAACCATAAAACGGGAAAGCGCGGTAACAACGAAACGCCATGTCACCGACAACAAACAATCATCAGGCACACGGCTATGTAAAATGAATTTTAAAAACGTGATTTTCTTCGTCTCGACCTGCTCTTTTATCAAACTTCTACATTTGATAACACTATAAAATTAACCCCTTCACACAATTCTATAATGACAGCAGAAACACAGTCGCATCACTACGCATTCAGACAGTATTATAGAAACTGCAGCTTCCTCAAGATTATACGAGTGATTTTTTTATTCGAAAAAAATAGCCCGGTTTCATCATTAGTGAGATTGTGTTTTAATTGGTGTGCCAAACTGTTCTTACCGATGTACAGCGTTCACTGGGACGGCTGAGATGGTCTGCACTGTGCAAGCCCTCCGCTTCTCCTTTCCTCTCCTCCGACGCCGCAGACCGGTCTACATGCTGCTCTGTCGCAAGCCCCGCCTTCCTGCACGCCCATTGGTCCAAAGAACGCCAAAGAAAAGTATCACATTGAAGGAAAGATCAGGTTCATTTCAACTACATGTTGGTTGTGTGCTCAGTTTTTGTATTTTTCATGTTTCATTGAAAAGTGTGTTGTTTGAATTGTGCTGGATTATGATTAATAATGGGGAGGAAATTGGGGGGGGGTGCTTCTTTGCATTGATGACTATTGTAACATTTTTTTCAGTACCCTCCCATTAAAATACAGTAAAGAGTAATTGTTCACCCTTACCTGTAAAAGGTAATCCCACGAGAAGTGGCTTTCGCTGTTGTACATCTCACAACGGCATTATTTGAACCAGGATGGTCTCAGCTTTACCACATGCAATATGGCGGAAAAAATGACGCAAAATGTAGCGCTGAAGGCGTTATTGACGTATTTTATATATCTGTGTATGGTTAGCAAACGTATTTAATTCCACATTCATTTTATACGATATTTGATGTTTATATTTTTTGATGTTGAAGACAACCATCAGGAACGTTTTTATATATGTTATAAGAACAAAAGCGGAGTCTAAAAACGTCAATACAAATAGTCATTGGGCGGACTGGCAGCAACAGTTGGGCGGGGAGAAGGAAGTATCTTGACTTAATTGTGCTGGTAAATAGCGTAAGCTAACGAATTTCGCTTTCGTTTTTACCATCAACCACTCAATGAAAGCGTATTTTGCGTTGCTGTGTTATCACTTGAATGCAGCAGTGAGAGCATTTCCGCTTTTAGACGCTGTTCGGGATTTGTAGTTCCGTTGACGGTTAAATACCTTCGTACAGAAAAGAAGAGACCGAGTGAGAGAACTACAACCTGTCGCACTTTCGACGAGCACAGCAGCCGACATCGCCCTCCCCAGCTCGACAGATTTGCGAAGAAACAAACTTCCCAACACAGAAGTCAGCAAGGAGGTGTGCTATAGTTGGTCAAAGCTTCCACTACTTTGAGTCGTGTCTTACCTTCCCGGTTCCTGTCAAGTTTCCTTATGACTAGTTGGTAGTACGTACGCCGTCCGAATACTGACTTGGAATCACCTGCTAAACTGCTAATTTCTTGACAGTAGATCAAATGTTATTCACCGTTGATATTAACCGCCTTCTTGGCTTTCTTATCTAAGTGTTAAACATGAAAGGGCGTTTGATACTTATTTGAAAATGGCCACATAGTGTACGTTTCAGGATAGACAAAGCAGAGGTGAGTCGAAAAATAAGCCATGGAAACGGGTTTTTATGACTACCTCAGCAAACAATCAGACATCTTTTTGTCCAGATCATGTGTAATCATTATTTGTCAGTATGATTTAATCGTTGGCTTTGTTCCCAAATCATGTGTCACGATAGGTGAGTCGACTTGAGGTGTGTCGTTTTATCCGCAACCCCACCCAAGTGAAACGTTTCAGGCTATGTACTTTGATGAACAGTCACACAATGTACAGAACGTATCCGATTTGCTCAAACCGTAACAATGTGTCCCTTGTGGAAAACGAAACAACCCACATCATAAAATTGCAGTTAAGTTGAACCATTGACCAGTCATTATTTTGTCATTTTTGCACGTGAATTACTTTTAAATTTATGGATGCATTAATATCTTGCTGATGTTATAAGGCAATGATTACTTATTCCGAATATGTTGTTTTTCCGGAGATTAGAGTTTATTCCAAATATCACGAAAGATGATGACAGCATTCACTTAGAAGATGCACTGGCACCCAAGCTGAAGCCCTACTTCCCAAGTCTTCAGTTAATCTCTGAACCTCCTTTCCTGAATTGTTTTTGCTGGAGGTGAAGCCTGGTTTCATGTGTGCAGCCATCATGGAAATGGGAGTTGGCCCAATCTTTGCACTGATGATGGATGGCAATCTATATGTCAAAATGAAACTAAACCTTGATTTAGATCTACTGTATATCTCAGTGGCTCCTTTACAGTGACTTGCAAACGTTTTGGTTCCTTGAACGTTTTGACCTTTTTGCCACATTTCATGCTTCAGATGTAAAGACATAACACCCTCCCCCCCAGCAAAAAGTGGCATGTTTTTTACTTTTAAAAAAGTGTCTGATAACATATGAATTTTGTTCGACTTAACGATCATGTCCCACCTGATGTTGATTCCTCATTTTACTTGGATCTTGTTCTCCTCACATGCTGTCAAGTCTGCAGGAGGGGTTGGGCACAGCAAAAGTGGCGTTGCCGGCCACGCACGTACCCCAAGTTCCCTTAATTGGTCGACGCCGACCATGGAGGACTTCAGGAAAGATGCCAGCACCACTTCAGTCATGGCTCTGTACACGGTGATGTACCCTGTCTTTGACCAGGTATGGGGGGGTCAGAAGCCCTTTTCATGTTTGATTCCACACATAAGGAAACTTCTCCAAAATGGCTTCTTCCTCTGCACTCAAAAACACAATCAAGTCAAGTCAAGTACAACTTTATTGTCCAATGAATTGCAAGTAATATTTAAAAAAAAAAGGCAGTGGTACAAAACTGTGTAAAACCTAAATATGCAACTGCCACTATGAAAAAAAAACGTTTTTTTAATTTTTTATTTTTATCAATGAGTGTTTTAGAAAGAGATTTAAAATCCTCCTAAGATATCTGCCTTGTGTGTTGTTTGTGATGACTTGCAGTTGGACAAAGTCAACCTGTCAGCAGCACAGACATTGCGTGCAGCCTTTATAAAGGTAATTTCAAAAAATGTTACTATATTCATAATTTATGGGATTGATTGGCATTTTTGCTCAAAAGCTTCTCTTCACGATCGTCTCAAGGCAGAGGAGGAGAACCCTGGCGTGACAGAAGACTTTGTGCTGAAACTACTTAAGAAAAAGAACCTGAAAATCAATTATAATGAGTGCCTACTTCGCATGGCTGCTGCCGATGTGAAAGGTAAGCTAAAGTGCGCGCATCACTAACACCGCAATCAGAGAATACAGTTCTTGCTCAGCGTGCTTGTTGCCTGCTGGAGTGCGTGCGCAGTAGTACTTAAACCGTCCACTGGGGAGAGCTGTTTCTCCACAAATCAACTTCTCCCACTTCCGTCCCTTCTTGCATGTGAATCAGTCCTTTGTGCGGCGCAGTGATTGATTTGAGCAATTAATACCCTCGCATACACACTCTTCGTTTGTTTTAAACATATTCAAAAGCTTTTTTTTGTTCGTCTTTCCAGGGTACGGTTAATCCTGTATCCACTATTCAATTTTCACTGCTTTCTGCATGGCGTTACTCATAACTTAAATGTGTGCTCTTATATTGTACAGTTGAGGGAACTGATTTGGTCTTATCTGTTTTGTCAGAGTTTCGAATTGAGAGGCAGGAGCCAGGGTTCCAAGAGTTGAATGAGAGGTCCCATTCTCTTAAACACATCCTCAGCACCATACCTGATGAGATCAATGACAGAGTGGGGTTCCTACAGACCATCAAGTGAGACCGATAAATGGTTGTGTGATTAACTAGACATCTTTTTCCTCTAAGTTCAAATGTTTCATCCATCCATTTTCTGATCCGCTTATCCTCACAACGATCGCGGGGCGTGCTGGAGCCTGTCCAAGCTGTCTTTGGGTAGTAGGCGGGGACACCCCGAACTGGTTGCCAGCCAATCGCAGGGCAGTTCACGTTTCCTTCAACAAATTTAACATTGTGCTAATTCCAGGTATTTGCGGGGGATTGAAACCAAGCCCCGCCACGATTAGCAAGAACCACAAGTAATACTCCCCCCCCCCCCAAAAAAAAGTGTTTAGAACCAAACTCATCTTTCAGGCTTACAGGTGATAAGATTTTGAAATGCGTGCAGATACATCGAAGACACTCCGATCTTATTCCGCTAACAACTCAGGCTAAATTTAGCTCCTCTGCAGATGTCTCACTATAGCATACTTCTTTTGGTACCAATGTGTGATGTTCCTATCACCCAGGACTTAAGCGCCAATTTGTAGCATCTGAGTACATTTCAGAAAGAGCACAAAGACACATGAGGTAAGTTTTTGTGGATCAGTGAAATGTTTACAAACCAAACTGATTTCCCATTGAAAGGAATGGAAATAGAATGAATCCAATCTAGCCCCAAATTTAAGTTATATTGACCGTAGATTTATCGTTGTTTTTTTTTGGGGGGGGGGGGGCATTGAAAAGCAGTTGTCCACAGCACTATGGGACCGGTTTCCCGTGATGAAGTGATTTTGACTGACCGGCGCAGAAACAACTCATGTTTTCTGAGTTTGGTCATGTGACCTTTGCAAACTGAGCCGTCGTTGGTCATTACCTGAGCTGTGAGCAACTGTGGTGTCATTTTTAGTCGACAACAAGAGGCAAAAGGGCCTCTTACTAAAAGTGATGAAAATGAATGGATCTTGCCACTTAATTCCTATTCAACCAAGGCAATATTGATCAGAATGCCATGTTTAGATCCGTAGAGGCGCATGGAACATATAATTGCAAAGAAAGAATTTCATTTGACTTGACTTTCAGGATAGAATTGGATGTTTTGCAAGTACTACTGCACTCTTTTATGACAAAAGAAGTTCACATGCTGGGTGCATAGTATGGCTTTATGCCATACTGCGGAAAGTGTTATGACACAGTCGTGCAAGGTGACACAAGTGTTAGCCAATACGCTTACCCGGTGAAGAACTTATGAATAAAATCAATTTGAAGCAAATGATTGCTAAAAAAAAAATCATATGATGGGGAAAAAAAAAAAAAATCTAAGTTTGTGGGGGGCGAAAAGCAAGAAAACCAAACATGATGTGGATGAAAGAGGAATAATTTTGGCTGGAGAACAAAGAGATTTTCAAATGTATTCTTGTTGCTCCTTTACACCCGGATGTTTGTTTTTCCTCCAGAGACATTGCCAGTGCCATCAAAGAGTTGCTAGACATCGTTAATACCATCTTCAGGAGGTACCAGTATCAAAACAGACAGGTAAGTATCGATGAAATGATGGGGAAGATGGTTTTTCCCAGACGCTGCCTTCGAAACAAGCAGAGCTGAAAAGGTTGCGTGTTTTAGGCGCTGGAACAGCAGAAGAAAGACTTTGTGAAATACTCCAAGAGTTTCAGCGACGCTCTCAAAACCTTCTTCAAAGATGGAAAGTAAGATGCTGCTTCATATCTCTTTGCTGTGTTAGGACTTTTTACAATAATTCTTTCTCTTTGGTTCTCCCCGAGCCTCACCCGCACGTTGAGTCCGAGCCCCCCCCCCCGCGTGACTCCCGTCATTTAAGAGCTGCGCTTGTCAGCGCGTACACACAAGCTGTCGCCGCCACGCAAAATGCTTGTCGTTTGATCAGAGTCTCGCTTTCTATTCAATCCGCCCTTCCTGAATAATTCCTTTGACCCATTTCCAGCGGATTCACGCCGGCTTGTTTTCTCTGAAGCCCGACATTCTCCCTTTCCAGGCAGATCAAAGTGTTTCCCGGATCAATATTGTTGCCATGGTTTCTCAGCACGATGACAGACATGCGTGTCCTTGTCTTTCTGTCATGCTCGCTCGCAGAGTGCTCAACGTGTTTGTCAGTGCCAACCGGCTCACCCACCAAATAAACATGATACTGGAGGCCTTCAAGATGGCGACATAGAAGCCTGAGATGACGCAGCCGCAACAAAGCGGAGGATTGGGAGGGCAAACCTTGTTGATGACGTGATTTTTATTTTGCTCTTTTATTGTTGTTGTACTTCATTGCTTAGCGTTTTTTTTGTACCTCCTGCGACCTTGAGAAGATACAGCTCTTCTTTTCATGGGTTTCTTGGAAGGAACAAGGCATGAAAAATAAGTATTCAATTGCGTTCTTGCCGACAAAGTCAAGTACACATCCCCTTGGATGTTATTCCCTCACACCTACCACGTAAGAAAATTGCTGGACACTACCCGGCCTTGTCTTTCATGTATTATTCATAGCGCCGCGCTAACTGGTTTTGACCACAAGAGACATTTCCTATTAATTACGTCGAAAATCTCCAAGCTGTACTTTCATTGCCCGGAAGAGAAATTCTCTCGTCGCCTTTTTGTAGGAAATTCTGCACACTGGATTGATTTCTGACCGCTGTGTGAGAAACGAGCAAATTATTTGTCGACTTCCTCAGCATTGTTATTTGTGATCCCGCTGCTTTCTATTGTTTCATTGTTCATTTATTCACTGTCCAATCATGCTAAAAATACTCTTGAGCTCATCTCCCTTATAAGCACTTTAGTCAACTTTTTTTTTTTCCCTCCCCCCAGTGAATAAAGTGACTTGACTTTGACCTTTGCCGTCCCCGTTTGTTGCTTCCCAATTTGAGGTTCTGTGTTGTTGTGAAATACGATCTTAATCAGTTGCCGAGTATCTACGGCCACTGTTAGGTTGCTTCTTTTATTTTTCTGACCATATCGTTACTCTTCTACAAAAATTGTGTGTTAACGTATATTTTGAGGGGCAACCAAAATACCAGTTCTATTATTTAGTAGTGCTGCCGTAGTACTTCCAAATTCTATCTGACAGGGGTGCGACTGTCACTCAGCAGAGCACAGACTCACTCCACGCTCTCTCGTGTGGGAAAAGGTGCTTAGTCGTGGAAATAAGACATTTGATAATGAATAAGACACACACTCTTGTAGCCAGGTATGAATAAAAAGATGCTAAGATCATTTCTTTAGGACCCTTCTTTACTAACAATAGTCACACAAACCTTCAAGGCACAACTGTTCCTCAAACTGTCGATTAAGAGTTCAAAGAGTTGGAAAGATTTACCAAAGTAAATCTTTGTGTGCGATGAAAGTCCTTCACTTCTTCTCCGCTGCCCTTCCTTTTCTCCTTCCACCGTACAGTAGCAGGATCTGGACGATTTTTTTTTCTCTCATTGCGGCACCTTCATTCTTCTCCCTGTATAATAGTGGATTTTCCATGGTGGATTTGCGCGGGGCTATTTTGAGCTGTGCGCTGGCTCCTCTGTGCAGCACTGTAATCCAATTGTGATAGCTTTAATTTTGAAAGGTTTTTTTTTTTTTACTTTTTTTTTTTTTAATTGAAATTGCTGAGACCTAATTTTCTGATCCTGTCACCGTTGACGGCCGCTGTAATCGGCTAATTCAAGTTATTCCAAGCCATTAAGTCGCACACAGGAACTGCTTGTGGTCACTGAGGCAGGAGGGAAGAGATCATATCTGCGCTGAATGAGCCGCTAGTGGTGTTTTGGAGATAGGGTTTTTTTTTTCCCGTGACCAAATCCCAAGAAATGTTCTTGGTCTTGACCGCAGTAAACCCCTCACAGGTATTTGAATGGCACCAATAAAGCTCTTGAGTTGTGTGTGTGTATGTATGTGTGTGTGTGTGTGTGTGCGTTTGTGTGTGAGAATGAGAGTCTTGCTGAAGCCCAAGTTCGTGCTATTATCAGTGTTGTTAAAAAAAAAATGTTGGGATTGAGTTTTGTGTTCTAACTACAGTACATTTGGGGTGTTGCTGTTGCTCTGAACGTTCTCTATAGTGCCTAATCCGTGAATGAGCACGCATTGTCTAGAAACCAAAAGATAGGGCCAGGACGAACAAATGCAACTCTTGGTTGCCAGGAAACTTGCACGGGTCTTTGGCAAGTTGGCCGTATAAAAGAACAGAAGTGTGTGTGTGTGTGTGTGTGTGTGTGTGTGTGTGTGTGTGTGTGACCACTGCCTGCCCAGTGAACGCTTTGGGGGTGTTTGGGCCACATCCTGGGTTGTTGGTGTTGTTTGTCGCTAGGTTCCAACTGTGTCTGCCTGGAATCAAACTCCACACACGGGATGCAAAGATTCAAGCCGAAGCCACTGCTGAATATTTGTAATACATTTGAGAAGCAACCGTGGGTCTTCCCAGAGAACTTTAGAGATTACGGACCATAGAAACGTCACTTTTCGATGTTCAACAACTTGGTAAGTTTGAATTAGTGTCCCATCTCTTCCATTGAAATATGGTGATTTAAGCCGCTTGATTGAATTGAATTTAGGCAGGTTATGGTCATGTTGGAAGGCCTGATCAACTTTTTACAGACTCAACTACGTTCCATATTATGCAAATCATGTTTTTCTGATTTCGATAAATCGTCTAAGCAAGTGGCAATCGGCATAATTCATCAATTCATAAATCATCAAACAAAAAATATTAAGTGGCATATTTTTCAACAAACCTCATAATGGTAACAGTTCATTTTTTTCCACCAAAAAATAAAAGCATAGTTTGTGAAAATGTGCTGCTGGTAATTATTATGCATAGCAGCGCTTCCAAGACATTTTATAAGTTGTAAAGAACTGAAAATGGTCTTTTTGTTGAATTCGCAGTCCAGTTGCCTTGACTCAACTTTTAACTGTAATTGACCGAGAGTCTTCTCAGTCATAAATAAGACGACAACTTATTAGTCAGTGGATTGCCAACGTGCTTGCTAAAAAAAAAAAAAAAATGCACGTTGGAATTTTCATTGATTTTGTTACACCAAGTTAAAAATGACACGCACAATCATTCTATGAGGCTAACATTATGACATAAACAATTCTGCACACATTTACGAAGCACATTCCTGTCTGTGCACGTGTTTTATTAATCAGACTGGCACCGCTGCAGGTACCAGTGATGTTCACAGGAACCGTCTCACCAATTTCGCCTTCACAGAGAGGATGCTCAGCTTTGAGCGTGACTACTTTATCATTTGTGTTTGGAAAAAAAAAAAATAAGTTGTGTTGTGGAGCTGCATTGCATCATACAGAGAGTCGTTTGTAATATTTGGATTCCCTTTAAAATATTACCCAAGCAGGGTGTTTTTCCTCCTACGGTAGCAAAAAAAAAAAAAAGTTATCATGCCTGCTGGATAGCCACAATATTAGCAACTGCACCTTTCTAATCTCTTATTGATGGATGTCAGTCGCTTCCCACCCAACAGTATAATACCACGCTGTGGTTTATGCGTGCTTCAGCAAGGGACCGCTTTCGCTTTCATTACAGAGCCTGTCATCTAAATCTCGTCTCGGGTTGATGCCACTTGGGCTGAATTTGCCTCGTAAAATGTTTCTGTCAACCTGTTTATACCTGTCTTTGAAGGGCTTATTAGATAAAGGGATATTTCCGTCACGTCTCCTCGGACTCTAACTCGGGCAGTGCTTTTAAATCATTACACAGAGTAGTATGGCAAAAAAAAAAACTTTCTAATGTTGTATTATTCCCGCTGCTTATCTACTCTGCTCAAGTGTTCTATTTTGCATTCGTTGCCATTTGAGCAATGCGAAAGGCAAGGCCCTTTCCACTTTGAGACAGATTTGTGGTACCCAAAACGGCGTTGACACTGAGCTATTCTACATCGACTTTGAGATCAGCTAACAAGAAAAAATAAAAATACTCCTCTGAGAAGGTTCCCTTTCCCCATCATTATGTTGACATGACGACCCGCTGCAAAGCACGCGAATCAGAATAGTCATTATAGTCTGGAACTATGTCGTTCTCCTCCACCAAGTCCACCAGGTATGGCGACTGCAATTACTTCGACTCCAGTGTTGACACCCGTGTCAAGTATGCTGTTGATTGAATGACGGGGCTGATGATGCGTAACCATGGCAGCCAGGATGGAGGTGACACTGCTCGAGAGCAGGATGAGCATGGAAGACTACAAGAAGCTACAGGGGCTGTTCATTGTGAGTCGTTTTCTCCTCACTGTCTCACGTTGCTGCGCCAAAGGTAGTGAAATGTCATTGATGCTCGACCTCGGCATGATGGTCACAAATCGAGCTTTCCTTAAGGACTAACCTCACAATCCAAGGGACAGTCTACAGCACCTGGACTTAGAATGAGAGTACAGACATTACACATTATTCTAATACGCACATTTTTATTTGCTTGCTTGTTTTGATTTTTTTTATGCCTGCTCTGTATTACAAAGAAGAAAAAGATATGCTACCCACAAGAAGTTTGGGATCTTTGGCTTTTGGGTGAAATATTTAGGATAAACTCAAAATTAAACAAACGGGGGTGCATAGTGAATCTAAATAATATACGATTTCTGCTTACGTACAGAACCGAGCTGCTGAAATAATGACATGAAGTTTTCTACTATATTCTGATTCATTGAGATTCCCCCGTCAACTCTTACTTAAAAAAAACCGAACAGCTCCACGTACTTGATCGGGTGAGCGTTTCCCCTCGTTTTCCATTACTTCCATGCAGCTACATCTGTAAGAAATGCAAAATACAAAAAAAAAAAACAACAACAACAACAATTAGATAGAATGATGCAAAGTAGACACTAGTGATATCTGTGAAGGTTCATGTAAATCGGTGCTTTGCCACTTTTATTAACCAGGAAACAAAACTGTCACAAAACACATTTCATCGTTTTGCCTGGCTGTCACGATTTGTTGCTGGCATGCATGAATGAACAAAGACACTTCACACGAGTTGCACCATGTACATTTTGTCTTCCAATGGCCCTGATTTTGACCTAGGTCTCCCCTGGGGTGTCCCGCTCCTTGTCCAGAAGTGAATTCATCCGTCTGGCCGCCTCATCGGTCGGTCGCGGTTCCGAAGAGGAGTACGGCCTGTTGTTTGACAGCGTGGTTGTCAGTCAGGGGCAGCGCGGTCTCTTCTTTCACGGCGATGCCGTGAAGCAAGAGGCTCGAATAGACAGCGGGGGGCTGTGCTCTTTTCTTCAGCAGGAGCTATCCGAAAAGCTGAAGCACAGCAGAGTGAAACGCGTGCCTTGCTGGAAGCCTCCCCGCTCTCTGACTTGCCCCCATCGAGATCCGGTCCAAAAGGTAAACGGCTCTCTTCCCGGAGACCTGCAGGGTAGTTTAGTATTGAGTGAGCCAGCATGTTCATTTGCGGGCACGATGCTTTGCAGCTGTTATGTACAACGCACTTTGACATTGACGCGATGGAGATTCCGGGCTGCTGACTAGATAACATTTTTTAAGAGTTCGGCTCTCTCATCTAAATGTCTCTGCTCATTGGAGATAAGTGGCTTTTGGACTCCCAAAAGTTTAACATCTATGAATTAGTATGCAAATTGACCGGCCGCTACAAAGTGCCGGCAGCTGTGAATAAAGTGCCGGTTCCCTGCTTCCATTTTTCTGGGGGGGCCCTGAGATTGTCAAAATGAGGTTCTGATGCCGACAGGTGATTCTTAAAGATTCAGACACCGTGCGTGACTTAGTTCAGTGATTCAACGGAGTGTTCCCTATTTGGAAAATAAGATCCTGAGACAGACATGCATCGGAAACTTTATTACGTGAAGTTTAACAGCACATTTGGACTACTGTCCAGTATTTATATGCGCCACTTTTCTGCACCCAAACGTACCTGATTAAGGCAAAGAACAAGACAAACTGCTTTCTAGTCAGATGAAAACTCTTTAAAACAAGACAGTAAAACTCAGGCTCTGCTGATGGACGTCCGTCCTCGTGAGCGATCTGCTTTTGCCACGACATCAAACTCATCTGAATATTAGTGCGGATGAAACAAAACCTAATGCGGTGTAATCACAGCTTTCAGTTGTATTTCAACAGCTTGTCACATGAAAAATGCCTTTGGTGTTTTTTTTTATTCTTTTTTTATAGCCTAACAATTCATGCATCTATCAGTCTTTTCCCTGTGCCCATGATTCACTTTCCCTTAATAGGAGAGATCCGTGCTGAGTTACAAATGAAAATTTGTGGCCTGGTGGTAATATTTCATAATCTTTTTTTTTTTGTCCTGCTCATCCTCGGTTTTGCTCCAAAAGGCACTTTGAACACGTAAGCATGTATCGTTTTGTTTAAAAAAAATGATATTAGTGTTTTTTGAAAAATATGTTTGAACAATACATTTTCTTTATTGTCCTTAATTTCAACAAAAGAGTAAAAATGACGAAAGTTGACAACCACTGATATAGTTCACTTTGGGCAGGCTACCATGCTTGCATCCAACAAATGATAACCATGTTTTTTGGACAGCACACTATTTATGCTTTTTCTTCTGTCGCTGTGTCCAGTGGCCCACAATACCAATTAAAAAAAAAATAACGCAAATGGCACCATCCGCTCTGCTCAGGTGTTGTACCTGCCCAGTTGGGGTCAATACATGACCGTGAGTCAAGGAGGATTTGTGGGGCTGCGGGACTGCGGTGACATGTCGCTCGTGAGCAGCCAACGACTGCAAAACAGCACAGTCCGACCCAAAGACTTGTGGGTGACGGACGTGGTGCTGCTGCAAAATGTACACAAGGTGATCGCAGTACAACCACCAAAGCCAATCCCGAAGTTGACATTTTAAGCAAAACAATTAGGAAAAACAGCTTTTGCACTGGGCTACTATCCTAAATTCAAAACCTACTCGATTTTTTTCAGCCCCTGTAGGGTTAAACTTTTTCGTTTCCAACAGCAACACAAACAGACTTAAATTAAACCCAAAACATTTTCGTCTTGTTCTGTTTTCCTCATGGAGTACCGGTAGTTTAATTCGGCACCAGCATGGAGGTCATAAACTCACCGTCTATGAATAATTTGATTCATTTGTTTTGTGATATTTCTAATACATGGGTCATACATTTTCAGAAAATTAATGAATTACATTTTTGGCCATGATTGTCCCTTATTATTTATTCATTATGCTCGGATAGGCCATGAAATATCACACAATTATTGTTTCAAATGCCAAGTTTGTTTAGTTTGAATCCTTTTTAATGATATTTACACGAATATTTCAGTCATTCTGATTAATTATAACCATTTGTGTCTGTGTTCAAGTTTTCAAATATGATTCTTCATTATTCTTCGAGTGAATGTCTTGCCTCTTTGTGACTTTTCATTTCATTCCTCCTCCATGCCGCACAGATAGCGGTGTCGTTTACAAGTAAAGAGGTGTGTTTTTATGACACACTATCCAAAAAGGACTTCAGATGCAAATATAAAGTCCAGGTAAAAAGCTCTCAAGCTTGTTACTGATGACATTCGGCCACTGATAATAAAAATGCAATGAAGAAACAGTTGTGCAGTACCTTCTAAAAGTTCCCAAACGATTTGAATAGTTTGTTTTTTTCTTTTCCAGGGTTTAAAGTTTACTCCATGGTGTCTGGACTATTGGTCCGATGCCTCGAAGCCAGATCAGGCTATCCTCGCTCTAGGTGACATTGGTGGACAGGTGACGCACAGTTGGGAAAACTGAATCACACAATAAGAAAAAAGGGGTAGAAGAAGGAATACAAAAAATGCGGCATGACTGCGTGGCTCACAGAATGCCCCCTTTTGTGTGTTTTTCCAGGTCAGCGCTTTATATTTCACCTCAGCCCAGATGTATTTGTTTGAGCGACGTAGTCGCTGGACAGACTCCGATTCCGCGCTCATCATCCAATGGGATGATGTGGTCAAAGGAAAACACCACTGCTGTTCCATTGTTCAACATCAGGCACACAAGCCTGCCTGGGTGAGGAAAGGTAGAGCAAGCGCACGCGTTACGGTTTTAATAAATATCACATTCTCTAGCCATATGGAGAATGCTCACTCGCACTGTAAGGTCACATTTCCTGCAACTTTGCGGTTATTTGTGGCATTGATTCGGCAAACTGTGAATACACTCCTTTGACAAAATAAATAAATAAATCACCAACTCTGAACAACAATTAAAAAAAAAAAGAACATGGATAAAACACAAGTTCAAAGTATTTTTAATATTCTCAATGCTGAGGGCATTCAAATCAATCTTTTGCACAATAAGTTCGAGTGTAAGTTTGTTATCGGTTCCTATCAGGGTTCGTGTCAGAGCTGACCCTCCAAACCCCCCCACCCCCCTCCCCCAAAAAACTAATGTCTGAGATCTTGGATTAAAAAAAATAATAATAAATAAAAAAAGATGGGTTCGTCCAAAAAATTGGAAATCCTTTAAACTGTCTGGCGAACCTCCAGGGAAACGGGTGGCAATGAAACTTCGAATTTCCTTCGCTGACATTCCACGTGGCACCAAATTCAGAGGCGCAGTTCAATCCTTTGACGATTCTATCAGTCCCCCCCAAAAAAACAGCCTGCACGAAATGTGCAAAGCATCTTCATGCACCCAATGAAAGGCAGAAGAAAAAGATTGTTCCTGTTAACACAATGTCTTGAAGACCTTCGAGAATTGTACTTCTGACATCACAGCTGAAATGAGATAATGATTGATTCCAACCACTGCCCGCTCTCCTACGCATCTCACACAAATGTGTGGAAATATTGATTGAGGTTGTAATATGCGAAGCCATGGCAGTACTGGAAACCTTGGTATTGGTGTATCGATCCGGGCGAGCGTCACTGCCGAGCAATGAAATTGACACCCTGTGTGGCATTCTGTTGGTCTAAACAGGCTGCGTCTGCATCCAAGATTGACATGTTGTGTATTCAGAGGCGTTCTGCTGCATAACGCATTCGCATAAGTTACGTTTCAATTACTATTGTCTTTTGATCAGCTTGAACCATCCGTCCTTGGCATCCACAGGGTATCTTTGCTTTGAGAAATCGATCCACCATTTCTCGAAACATTTTGCCCGTGAGCGCTGATGGCTTTTGGATCCATAATTAGTGGCTGATGACAAGATGGAGAAATAAGTAGTCAATTGCTTTTGTGCACAGACCTAAATAAAAATGTATGAATGCCGCAGGAAGCATGTTTGACTGCAAAAAAAAAATGGTGTGTTGCATAAACTCAATGGGATTTTGTCAAGTGGTTGCATAAAATAAAATCATCTGGATTTCAAGTCGACGTTAGATCTACTTCAAAATGTATCTGAATCCAGATGAGTCGACTGCATGCAAGCATTTGACAAAATAAAATTGGATAAACTCAACACACCTTTATTTTCAGTGTCCCCCCGCAGCTGGCAACTGTAACGCAGTAATAAAACCACACCATATTCTCTTGGAAAAGAGTGCATGAACATTTCAAAATACTACAAGCTACCTACTGACATGATGATCGGGGGTGGCAAAGTAGCACGACGCTGCAAATTATCAACATGCAACAAAAGTTGGATCATTTTATGCTGGTTACCAACAGTACATTCTCACGTTATCATTCACTCGTTTTTGTCATGCGACAGCCTTATGAGTAAATCATTAACATTCTCGTTCCCCCCCCCCACCCCCAAGAAAGTCACATATTGTGCCCCGTAGCAAAAGTGACGAATAATTTACATTCTCGCAAAACATCTAGGAAATAAATAAATAAATCAAAACATGAAATATTTTATCGACACAAATATTCAGACTCCATTGCCAAATCTTCACCTTGCCACAAGCACAGAGGTGTCTACAGCAATGTCATTTATTCAGCATTACTACAATACCAGCGAACGCATTCGGAGGTGTGGGCGGGGTGAGTCCTGAGTCATCCAATTCCTCAGCCAGACTTTTGACTGCTGCCATAAAAGTTTGAGCTGGAGGCCTTGTCCTCCCGAGACTCTCCCACTTCAACTCATCCCGGGTGACAAAGAGGTCACTTGATTGTATCATTGATCGCTTGCATCATTCAGCTCCATCTCTCCTTCGGAGTCATTGGGCTGTTTAATAATGAGTCAGCAGTTGCATCGTTCCGAGACCAACTTGGCCGGGAGCGAGGGATCCCAGTGAGGGGGAGAAAGAAGAATAAGCTCATAAATAAGCACAACCAATGGGAAAACAAAGGGAAGGCAAGTAGAGGGGAAACAAAGGCGACGATGCCGACACAGTGAAAGCTGCAATGGAATGTTGGGTTCTGGGTCTTATTTCTGATATGTGGGTTATTGATTTAGTTTTTTTATCAAAGTAATTGTGAAAGACTGCAAAGACCGGTAGATGGTCACTTATGTCGGTTATGAGAAGTCCACTTTCCTTTTTATGGTCAATCTTGTTTATAAATATATTATCTATTAATGTGGCCGTGTCAACTGTTATTCTGGTGGGTCTCAGAATGACTGGGTAAAGACCGTTGCTATACATTATATTTATGAAATCTGTTGTTTTTTTGTGTCCATTTGGGTTTAATAAATCGATGTTAAAGTCTCCACATATTATTCGTGTTTTCTTGTTATTTGAACAACTCAGCATATCTATCAGTTTTTTATTGAATGTGTCAAGACAAGATCCTGGAGTCCGATACACGCAACTTATAATGACATTTGATGCATTTTTAATATGTATTTCAAGAGTCAGACATTCCATTAAATTCTCTATTGTATTTGTCAGGCTCTCAATTTTACTGCATTTCAGTGTTTTATCTACATATATTGCAACTCCCCCTCCTTTTTTATCTTCCCTATGAGTTGCATACATTTCATATCCATCAATTTTCATTTCGCTTGTTTTTTTATCATCAAGCCAAGTTTCTGACACAGCAATTATTGTAAATTTATTAAATGTAGTCAAATATTCTTTGATTTTGGTGAAATTTTTATAGAGACTTCTACTGTTTATGTGTATCACTGAGAAAGCGTTTTTTCGTTCTACATTTATGTTGAATTGTTCGTCAGTATAATACTCGGAGTTTGTAATGCTGTAATTGTAATTGAAGAAATTATTGTCAGGATCCCAGTTGTTCTCTGGGTCGAATGTCTTATGTTCAGCATAATCAAAGATTTTAAAATCCATGATTGTGTTGTATGTTACCAATATCCGTTAATTCAAAGTTATTGTCTGGTAATCGTCAAATCTCGGCATGTTGAAGTTGAGCCCGTTGAATTGGAGTACTGGTGCGGGGGTGGACGATGAGTTTGTCGTGCCTCAGGTAGGCAATTTCCCCTCTTTCACGTGCCTCTTTTAATTTTGGAAGCAATTCTTTTCTTTTTTGTCGTACATTATCTGTATAGTCTTCATTAATGTAGATTTTGGTACCTTTTAAGTATTTTGCTCTCTGTAGTATCATTGTTTTGTCCTTATATTTTTCAAGTTTCACCAGTACTGGTCTTGGTCGAAGTCTTCCCGTTTCCTGTCTCCCTGTGCGATGTGCTCTTTCTACCTCGATTGTCTCCTTTAATTGAAGTTGCTCCTTGAAAATTGTTTGTACTTTTTGCTCCGTTTCAGTCCACGTTTCTCCTTGCTTTTCTTGGTGGCTAATTGTGATTTTTCAGGCAGCGTGTGGAGCGCTCGTGTGCAAAACCAAGGGGGAGTTGTGTTTGTGTGTGCCTCAGTGGAGAATGTGCGTTTGCATACCTCTGGGTGCTGGCGCTGTTCTTTTTTTTTTGATGTTGCCCACCCTGCAGTACCAGTGGGAGTCTTACCATTCGCTATGGCTGGGCCATCAGAGTGAGTTGGGTGGGGTACAGAGGGGCTCAATTGTGAGGGAATTAGGAAGAAATTTGGATTGCCACACACCCAGGGGGGCATGGAAGCAGTCTCGGAGAAAGTATCGAGTGGAGCTGAGAAATACCCGAATGCACAGCTATGAATGCTTGAGACCGAGTGTTCGTCATAATTTGCACTCAGAACAAGAGAGTTGATTTAATCTTGCGCTCTTCCTCTTTCCATTTCAAACTCCAAGAGATGAATGTAAAATGACACGCTTCATCAGGGTGAAGCAGCTGTTGTGGGTCACAAAGACCTTGAGATTTGATATGTGTCAGTCAAAGTGGGAAGAAGTCATTCATCGATGATGAGTCACGTCTCACTCGGAGAAATCTGCCCATATTTTGATTCCCAGTGTGGAAAAGAAATGTTCCGATGAAAGGAAAATAATCAAATGTGCATAATTTGGGGAGGTGACCTTTGAGCCGTGACTGTCACACGCCATCTCAGCACTCCAATGTTATTTGTCAGCCGCGCTCGCTCTGATGGAAGTGTCCGAATTCCAAATCAGATAGTCCTAATCAATGTCCTAATCGAGACGGATGATGATGCAAGGTCCATTACTTTTTCTGTAATCCTAGTGAGCGAATGAATGCGGCTAATTCTCTGGGTGTGGATGATGTTTTCCTCTATGCTGGATTTGCGGTCAGCGCATATTCAGTAGAGTGGATGTCTTTCAAAAGTGCAGCAATGAAAGCGTTGGGGGGGTGCGGGGGGCGGATTATTCAACCTGAATAAAAGCAATGGACACGGTGTTGTCATCATAAAGCATAACAGGGATGTTTTATATTCAGTTTGTTGCGGTTACACCGATTTCCTGAGCCTTGGTTGAAGCAACTTCCATCTCAGTGAATGGAAAATTAGTATTCTAAGAAGTTCTCAATTGCAAATATGAAGTCTTGTATGCATTGTAATGTTCAGTGGCAATTCCACTTTGAAGTGTGAAGGGCAGGCACAAGGGGCGTGCTGGGGGAGCAGTGTCCCAGAAGATGGCAATGTTTTTCTATCCATCGAATGTCCATGTTGTACTTAATACAGAGCAAAATTTCAATTGGTTTATATATCCACTCATTTCTCTGTCCAGGGGCTCTGTCAGTCCCCAGTTTGACATCCAACAGCCTAGTGGGCACGTCTGGCATATTCTCTGCTATTGTCCCTCTGTCTATGGTGCATTCGAAAATACGCTCCGGGCGCACTCTGCTTCACTCAGACCGTTCGGAAACTCAGGGCATTGTTGAAATGTGCCGTTCGATTATTCACAGTGCGAGAAAAAAAAAGAGTTTTTTTCCTGTCATCTATCAGAAGAAAAAATATAATGCAGTATAGCATATACCCAAGTGCTGTTGCCACACAAAATCCCATCTCCTCTCCTCCTTTCTAGAATCTTTTCATTAGTAATTTGGGGTTGTCTGATATGTTTGATCTGTTGCTGTGGTCTGTGTGACACACTGGTCTACATAAACACACACGATTTCAAAGCTTTCTGTGCTGTAAACAGCCCAGCGATGGCTTAATACCAGTCTCCTCTCTATAAAGGTGTCTTTTTCGCACGTCTCATCTGACATTGATCTTCAACATGCTTATTTTCTTACATCCCCACAGTACTTTACCTGGACTCACTGGAGGCCTTTGTGTCGTGCAGCACCAGGCCACAAAGCAGCATTGCGATTGGCTGGGAGGAGAAGGGCGGCAAGAGCCTCCAGGTAACCACTTTCTTTACAGAGAGAGGAGTCTGGGACCTAGACTATCACCGTGAACTTAAGCTGATTGGTAAGTAAATTATTAGAATCATAACAGGCTGTATAGCTACGAGCCCACCTGCAATTTTGAATCTGTTCACTGTATATTTGTATTCAAACTACCGTAATTTCCAGACTATAAACCGCAACCTTTGTCACATGCTTTCAATTTTGCGGCTTTTTTAACAAAGTGGCCGTCTGTGTACCGTCTTTCTTTGTAAATATCTCATGTTACAATGTGGGAACCTGCGGCTTATACACAGGTGCGGCTTATGTGTGTACAAAGTGTCTTCTCTGGCCAGTTCTAATGAACTTGCTGCTATGACGTTACCCATGCCCATCATCTTTTTCTGTTTCCGTGAGATTTAAGCCTTGCTTGGTATAGCTCCACTTCTATCCCCTCGAATATCGTAACCGGTATTCTCCAGTTTTCTCAATGCGACTACTTTGAGACTTGGTGAAAAATGTTTCCAACGTGACAAGGAGCCACAGTCCAAGCAAGTAATATGATGTTGTCATCGGACTGAAGCGACTCAAGTCAATATTGCAGCGACACTTTCGGTTGATGACATCAACCCGTGTGTCGTGAAAACAACATGCATCGCTAAAATCGAAGACAATCCTTATGTTATTTGAGACAACGGGATTGTATGTAGCCACTGCAGGTGCGGATCATCGGGTTCTGCTGTGGAACCCCTACGTGACCTCCCAGCCATCATACCTACTCAGTGGCCACGTTGCCCCAGTTGCGGCTGTTTGTTTCTTGCAGAAGAAAAAGCACCTGCTCAGCTACTCCAGAGATAAGGTAGAAGTGTGCGTTTGCCTGCACAGTAAAGAAAAACGACTGCCGAGAATCAGCGTATGATTAATTTTGATACCTTGCTGCAGAGGAATACAGAGATTTGTTTCACGCCGCTGCTTCTATTTATGAAAATTATGACCACATTTACTTCTCAGTCTGTTTTCTTTCTGTTGCACAAATGATGATGTTGCCCCTCTTCCTCCCTCCTGTTGCGGCACCGTGCATGTTTGCTTTCTCTTTCGGATTTTCTGAGGGGAATAAATATTTTAGAGGTAATTTATGTTCCATCTGCCTTCTTCTTAAACACCATCTGCCACTGCAAGAAGCTTTGAAAGCGTTACCACACTTTCCTCTGGAAGTGTTCCTGCACCAGAGACATTCATCTTGTTTGGTGCCGTAAACCAATATGGCAGACTTCTCATTAGGAGGCACTCTGAGGCATGCGGCGCAGAAACTGGGGTAGAGCGGTCATCCATCTTTGGTCATTTTTTTTTTTTGTTCCTCTGATTATTTTCAGATGACTGTCAAAATAATATTGAAGTCTATTTGTGTAAAATAAAGTCAACCTTGCACTGGAATATCAACTCCTAGCATCCACTTTCTTTATTTCAGGTTTTGTGTTTATGGGACGTTTCAAGTCAGCTTTGTATTCATCGTCTGGGTGGCGTTTTCCCAGCCACACGGGAAGACGCGCGCACACTCCTGCTCCTGATCGAAGAGCGCCAACTGCTGCTGCTCACCTTCAACAGCCTGCTCGTCTTGCTGGAGAGCACGAAGGAGGAGACGAGGGCCAGCGGTCACAAGCACCCTGTCACCTGTGTGCTTTACAACAGTCTTTTCAGACACGTGAGGGCCTGGTGTGCGGTGAAAAAGGAAGAATGCGTGGATTGATGGCTGCGCATCACGTGTCGGCAAACCGATGACTCCGATTCAGTAACTTAGAATTGACACACAGGTTGCCTCACTGATGTTCGGGATACCCGACAGATGGACTAAGTACCTTAGCAACTGACTGTTGAATTGATTGGCTGACCGACTAACCGACTCACAGATGGTTTGTTTGCCTGACTGACAAACTTACAGAAGAAAGGACCGTTGAATAGACTGACCAGAGTGGAACAGCTGATCCATAAAATCCAGTATTAAGAATAAACTGGGTAATTATGCATTCGGTAGAATATTCCGCATGAAAGATTTAATTAGCGTCAAGTAGAATCACTGATGGACCGACGGACAGACTGAATGACTTACTGATGTACGGACTGACTAACTTGATTGATGGACTTACTAACAGACTCATGGATACGTGGATGGATGGATCGCCTGACAGACAGACTGGTGGAAGGGAGAACTGCTTACTAGACTGATCGAACGACTAACGTACCAACTGTTGAATGACTGAGTGACTGATGGATGGATACATGGGCTGATGAACTGAACAACTTCCTAATGACTGACAGATGCATGGTTGGATGGACTGACTGTTGAATGTACTGATAGACTCGATAGACAGCTTGACGGACTGACTGTCAGATGCATGGATGGGCTGACTCATTGACTGACAGCTTCGACGAATCGACTGATGAACTCAACAACTTACTGACCGACCAATGCTGGCTGAACCGATGACTGATGGACTGAGTGATTGCAATCAAAACAAGATGAGTTTTTGTGCTAGACCGAGGTAGTAACTCAACAATATGCAATTCAATCAGGGGTAGGCAATTAACTTTGCAAAGGGGCCACATGAGGAACTGGAATGCTTGTCGTAGACTGTGGGCAAGCCGGGTGTGGCCCCCAGACCGTACTTTGCCTAAGCCTGGATTGAATTGAGTGCAAGTTGGATCCATTTAAAAAAAAAAAAATCCTTTTTGTGAGTGTCTTCAGTGCAAAAATGATAAAGGTGGCAGTATACAGAACATTCCCTTTTGTCGCTTGATTTTTTTTGCAGGTTTTTTTTTTTTTTTTTAGAAAGTACGCTTTCTATTTTGATAATTTCCCCCTGTCTTAGCATGGCAGTCAATGTCATGCATGTGTGACATGTCAGAATCTTACAAATCTTCATTTCTCAGCATGCACCACAATCATTAAAAGCTATCATTTCTCACCACGTAGCGCGGAGCAAACCGCTTTCAATGATTGATAGCCTCTGACTTTCTCTCTCTCGCTGCAGGTAATAAGCAGTGACACCGGCTCCTCTGTGATCTGCTGGCTGGCTGACACGGGCCAAAAGGTTAAGCAAATCCACCGTTGCCATGGCAACGCCGAGATCTCCACCATGGCTTTGGATGGCACGCAGACGCGGCTGTTCACTGCCGGCAATGATGGAGAGGTTAAAGTGAGTGAACTTGCAAACACGGACTGCACCTCACGCTGTCTCAAAACAGTTATGTCCTGTATTTGGCGTGCCATCCACCATAAAAACGGACATCTATTTATTTTTAGCTCTATGATCTGATCCATAATGGCTCTTCAAAGCAACCCTGCAGCATTCCTTGATGGAAGTAACAATTGTGCAAATGAATAATAATCAGCCACCTCAGGTCTATCGTGCCCTTTAAATCTTAGGTCAACATCCGCATTTTGTCAACGACAATGCTGCAATTATGCAGGTGGATTATTATCAAAAGCAAAAACGAGAGGAAAAAAAAAAGTGCATTTCCACCTTCCTTATCTTCTGCATGCCTCTCGCAGGTGTGGGACTTCAATGGCCGCTGCCTCCACAGAATGAACGTTGCCCTGGGCAAGGCTGCGGCCATCTCACACATGCTGCTGCTGAGGACGAGCCTCCTGGTGATGGGTTGGCAGAGGTATTTGGGAGCTGTCGTTTGGACCGTCAGCTTGCACAGCAATAGTGTTTTGGAGCCCGAAAAAAAAAAGAACCATTTTCTGATTCAATCATGAAAATACTTGCCAGAAAAATTGAGGACAGGTACATACGTTTTATATTTAGGCATGTCCAACCACAGAATCACAAAAACAAACTGTGCCTACACTTTTGCCCTGTAGTGTCGATGAATATCATTCATTATTACAAATAACATAAATCGAGGTTATGTGAGCAAAATGCCTTTTGCAGTATTGATAAAAACTCAAGAAGTAGCTCTCAGTTTCCAAACCAGACCCCTTGCCTTCAAAGAATGTACTTTCTGCGATACAAGCGTGTTTTCCTTGCATAACGTCCACTTCCCACCCGATGTCTCTTCACCCGTCATTAGTTTTTTTGACTGTGTTGTTTTTCTGCTCCTCACCCGCCCTCTTGCCGACTCGCGGCGGAGGATGCTGACAGTATTCCGCCGGCATTCCTTCTCCAAGTCTCACGTTGACCCATCAGAGTGGAAGGGCGGTGTTCATCATCGCGCCGAAGTGCTCTGCGCTGCCTTCCAACCTCCGCAGACTCTCGTCACAGGTGTGTGCATGTATTGTTGTTTTCGTTCAAAAATGTATTTTTGGCACCCGTCGTAATGCCAGAAATAAAATGAATCACCCTGCTTTTCATTATTTATTTCAAGACAATGTATGACAATTAGTTCAGTCGACTCATAAGATAATCGAAGGTTGAGATCCAAGAATCGCCGCAGTCTTGCTTATGATGAATTTGAGTGCCACAATCGATTGGCACTGATAACATCAAGTACTTTCATCACTTCCTCACAAATGACTTGACCAAAGTAGACTTTCTTTGAAAAGTGCGCTTGTCGAACGACGTACCATCCTTCTCTTTTCTTTGTTAAGTCAAACTTTAATGGCTTGAATTAATAATGGGTTTGTGGGGGTGGGCATTATGGAGAAGAACCGGGTGATGAAAAGAGAGGAAGACGATTTAGAAATGAAAATAATTTGGCAAAAGCACTTTAGTGAAATAACAAGGAGCAATTATGCACTGATGAAATGAAGTGCGGTTGTTATGAAAGGAGTCATTTTCTACATATAGCTGCTTTCATGAGTGCCGGCATGCATGATTAAACAGGCGCCTGACGGGCACGCAATAGCTTGCATTCAAGATTAAGATTAAGAGTAGAAGTGAACATTTTCACCACCGTTACCTTAAATGAAATCGGTAAGATACAGTGAGAATGACTCCATGGAGATCCCGAAGATGCGTCTTGTACATCGTTTGCTTCATCTCCAAATATGGAAATAGTCCAGTGCCGTCAATCCAGTGTTTTATTGATCAGAATCGCGCTGCTCAGAGTATTGCTAATGCCAGACAGTCACTGCAGTTTAACATGAAAATGTGGTGTCAATGTAAGAACAACCAAGTCGCTTTTTTCTGTGAACAAGAACTCGAGTTGGCTTTTAAAAATGACTGTGTGGGAACACCTCGAGTCGTTCCCGTGTAGCAGAGTGCGGGCATACGTTGCACACCCTCCACGGTCTTCTTCGACACAACAGCTCCTGAGATAAGTAAGGAGAAAGATAAAAGTTAGGGCTGCGAGGGTGGAAAGGAAGATAAGAGCGGGTGTTCTCGACGCTGCAGGGGAAAGGGTTTGGAAGTAATTAATGGTTTGTGCTGGAACAAAATCTCGATCCAGGAGATTCTTCACCAAGTTTGGAAACTTTGCCCCCAAATTGCTTTTGGTTTTCCTCTGTGTTTTAGATTCATGTCATGATTGGAGAAGTATTATTCCATCTATGAATTTATGTCGGCGGCCCCGTGGTCGACTGGTTAGCGCGTCGACCTCACACTGCAGAGGTACCGGGTTCAATTCCGGCTCTGGCTTCCCGGTGTGAAGTTTGCATGTTCTCCCCCGTGCCCGCGTGGGTTTTCTCTGGGTACTCCGGTTTCCTCCCACATTCCAAAATCATGCGCGGCAGGTTGACGGAACACTCTAAATTGACCCCAGGTGTGAGCGAAGATGGTTGTTTGTCTATGCGTGCCCTGCGATCGGCTAGCAACCGGTTCAGGGTGTGCCCCGCATAATGCCCGAAGACGGCTGGGATAGGCTTCAGCACGCCCCGCGAACCTTGCGAGGATAAGCGGATCGGAAAATGGATGGATGGATAGATGGATGAATTCATGTTGATTGAATGTGTGTTTGGGAGTTCTGCTTATTTACTTGTTTCTTTCCATTCCTGCTGTCACACAGCCAAGAGTCCCCACTATATCGACACCTCTTGAGAACTTGGCAGCTTGTCTGATGAATGCCAATAACCCATTTCATGAATCCTATTTTCGAAATTATCAACTCAATTTCCTCAACCTACTTGACCATTTCTTTGGTGTGGCATCTTTGGAAACCTTTCACTGTTGTGGCATAATTTGGCTGCGGTCCACTGGGCACAACGTTAGTATTTAAAAACCTGGTGAGGCCTTTCATTTTGATTGGCTCCATTGCTGTATAGCCCTTGAGGGTGAGGACCCGAGCCTCGTGACTGAAAGCATCACAAAAAGGCAGGTCCATCATCTTACACAGGTAATCATTGAAGCCAATTAGTGGCAATGAACTAAATACAATGAAAAGAAAGCACATTACAACAAGGACTGAGCCCTGCTGTAAAGATCTGTGACAAAGTGATGAAGTAATCAACTGATTGATGAATGCACCAGTGTCAAACTCAAGGCCTGGGGGCCAGATCTGACCCGTCACATCATTTTATGTGGCCCGCCAAAGCAAAGTAGGTGCATCGACTCATCAACATCTGACAGCTGATATATATTCTTTTTTTTTTAATCACAGCATGAACAAAAATTGCACTTGCACAACACACATCTACCTTCCTCTGTCTCTTGACACTATTATGGTAATACAGAAAATGGATTTGGGCTGTATGAATAATGCGGGTGAGCCACTGTCTTTGACAATCGCTCTTATATGTACACACCTGTAGTAAACCACTTTTAAAATGATTAGTTTATTGCTTTCTTTGTGAGCTAAAAAAAAATAACATCGCGTTTGTAGCTAGAGGCAGATGTTGAGTTGTATCTTAAAATGTGTTTCCTTATATTCACTTCAAAAAACATTTTCCTGTATGATGATGAGTGGAGAAAGGTTTAATAGCTTGTCTATTTTTGCCCTCAAATTAACTGCGCAGGAAGCCGCGATGGAGAGATTATAGTGTGGAACAACGACACCGAAAAAGCTCTGCGGAAACTGCAGCTGCCGGCTAAACATGAAGAATTCAGTAAGCAGCAAGATTGCACGCACACACACACACACACACACACACACACACACACACACACACACACTCACACACACACACACACACACACACACACACACACACACACACACACACACACAAACACACTACCTTCGCTTTGTTCAGGTGTTCATACAAAAGAGCTTCAGATAAATTTCAGATATTCTAGATATGTAGCGAGACAGCGTGGTGTCCCAGAAAAAGTGATGGATAGATATGTTGAAACATTTTAGCATTTGTTGAAGTAAGAGGCACCTTTTGTCGCTTGTGTTCCCCAAAATAATCTTCTATTGTCATTTTTTTTTGTCTCCCAGAGCAAACGGAGCATTCCCCTGACACCATCGCCACGGTGACCTTCTTACCAGGTCGTACATCTGCACAAATAGCAAACGGTAAAGCAAACGAAATCTACTCTCGTATCGTCATTCGTATTTTTGCATCACTTACTTGTCAATTCAGATTCAGATTCAGATTCAGCAAACTTTATTTATCCCCGTGGGGCAATTAGGACTTTGTCAATACGCATTTGTTCACTGAATAGAAGGAGCCTTGGCATAATGATAAGAATAATTCAGTGTAAATGAGGATTCCGACCACACTTGAAAGAAAGAAAACCATTTTGAAAAAAGTAATCAGATTACAAAAATATTGTACACTTACTGGAAAGTTTGATTTCTCCATGAATAGCCAAAATATGGCGAGAATGAAATCACAACTTGACATGTGGCAAAAGGAAATTAGAGCCGCTGTTTCTTGCTTGTGTTGAAATGAGAAGCGGAGAGGAAACAGTTTGAAATGAACATGCATTGTGCCTCTTTCTTTGCCGTTTTTTTTTTTTTGTTCCTGCCATTAACTAGTAATGTTTTCACAAATATTTAATGACAGTGGCTGCGAAATTGATCGTCTGCTTCCAAAGACGGAGGAGGCTGCTGGGCTCAATCTGCTGCTTTATTTTCCAAATGACATGACTTAGCCAAAATAAAATTGCCCTCCATCATAACATAAGCAACGTAATGTTGTGCAGAATAACGACAGTCTTTTATGAGAAGTTCTTTCTGATATTCGTATTTCCCTTAGGCGGCGCCAACTTGGCGTCATCTGGCAGTTCCGGGCTGGTCAGGCTCTGGAACACAGTCCACGGCCGACTCCTGGGACAGTTCACGGCTCACGAGGCACAGCTGGGCTCTGTCGTCATGACTGTCAGCCCCTGTGGAAAGTTTTTAGTCACGGCAGATAGGGCGGGCGCAATCAAGACGTGGGACATGGAGGTGCAAATCAGAGAAGTGATGCTGATTCTTTAATTGAAAATGGATATGTTGCAGCTTTAGGTCTTGTACCGGCGGAACAAATTACAAATGGATCCGAGGGGATTTGACAGAAATCCAAGCATCTGAACTGAAACATGATTCTTCGTGTTACATTTAAATTGCTACTAAATGCACCATTGGTAGGAGACAAACGGCTAATACGGGAATTACTGGCCAAGATTTTGTTGGCTCACGTACAAGTAGGACGATCAGAAAGGGGAAGCTGAGCAAACGGTTCCAAAACATCAAAAACTAAAAATGAACTGCCCGACACACTGAAGAGTCGTAGAGTCGTAACACGGTCAAAAGGGGAACTTTTTGTTCCGAAACAATTAGCCTCTGATACCTCAGACAATATTCAAGTAAAATGATCAAATAATCAGACCGCAAATCCTTGACGCTGGTTATACGTGGGGTTAATTGCAGATGTCTGAAGCTCATTTTACGGTACTTCCAGTTCCAATTCCAATTTATGGAAATGTATGTGTTAAGCAGGGCTGAATAAATTGGGCAAGCTCAGCGCTCTGGTTCAAATCCTGTCCCACGGCAGGGTGGGCCTTTGGGATCAGCTGGATGACTTGAACGTTTGCACTGTGTTGCACACGCAAGACAATTTACGTCAATAAATTGATGGCCTCCATAGCAAGACAAGGACCAAAACAACCCATTACAAATTAAAACAAACAGTATTTTTGATAACCACAGATTGACATCAATCTCAAGTCCATTGTGCGGAGCATTTCACTTTCCGTCTTTGCAGATGTGCTCAGCCACTTTACAGATGCTGCCTTTTGCCTTAGCACATAAACTTATACTGAGGGTCTTTGTCTAATACAGCTTAGCGTGACTTATAACATGTATACTGATTTATCTTACGACCAGTCACAGGTCCTGCGTGTAATGCCTGACATGTCGACTGCTTAGTGACTGCATACAATTTGCAACGGTGACTGACACTTGCTGCTTCATTGGCCTCAGTTGATTTTTCCACCGTCTTGTTGAACAATATGAGCATACAGATGGCAAATTTGAGCAAACAACAGAATTTCAAGATGCTCGTGCGTGGACCTTTGACATTGCCTCCAAAATTGACCTTGGAAGTCTTCTGACTTCCTCAGCACTACTGCCTGGAGTCAGACGGCGGAGTGGTGACCGAATCTCCAGAATTGGTACACAGTTTCCGTCCACACAAGGATGGGGTCACCCACCTGCATACGAGTTTCCACGCCGATCGGCTGATCCTTCTGTCAGCGTCTTCAGACTGTAGGGTGGCCCTCAGCTATCTGCCAGGAGAAACCATTGGCTTTTTTGGACAGGTAACACACGGTGATACACAGGAAGTAAAGTAATGCTGACACTTGCATTTTTGAAATAAATAGATTTAGTGGCAAAGGCAGTGACTGTTAGCGTACTGTCCCCAGCTAGTAGTGGGAGAATCCACTTGACTGAAAGGATGCGAAAGGCCTCGTGTCTCCAAACACGTGTCAGAATGGCTCCATATTTAAAGCAAATGGCGGTGATGTCTGCATAATATTATGTCATTTATATTTTACTTTGTCTGCAAAACACACTTAATGCATAACCCACAAAAGAATTCATCGTAGAAAGGGTTCTGTCAGTCGTCATCTGTACCTGTGGGTAAAAAACAAAAAAAAAACAAAAAAACACAAACAAAAAGCAAAAAAGGACGTTTCGCTTCTCTCACAGAAGCTTCGTCAGCGGTAGACAACCCTGAAGTCTCCGTGAAGACTCCGAGAAGTTGCTCTGCGCTAAAAAGCTGAGCGTGGCCTGTTTGAGGACTGGGTGGGGATGGTTAGTCACGCCCCTATTGGTTTATTAGAGGCCCATTGGTTTCTAAATTCCCAATGATAGGGAATTTAGAAACCAATGATAGGGAATTTAGAAACCAATGGGCCTCTAATAAACCAATAGGGGCGTGACTAACCATCCCCACCCAGTCCTCAAACAGGCCACGCTCAGCTTTTTAGCGCAGAGCAACTTCTCGGAGTCTTCACGGAGACTTCAGGGTTGTCTACCGCTGACGAAGCTTCTGTGAGAGAAGCGAAACGTCCTTTTTTGCTTTTTGTTTGTGTTTTTTTGTTTTTTTTTTTTTGTTTGTTTTTTACCCACAGGTACAGATGACGACTGACAGAACCCTTTCTACGATGGAACTTTCCTGTACGACTGAGAGCCTCCACAAGCAACCACAAAAGAATTAACATTCATGAAAATAAACACGTATGCTTAAAGAAAAATATGTGCTCTTTTTATCTTGTAAAATGCTCGACTGAGTTGTGAGAGACGAACTAGCGGTCACCCTCAATTATGGTCAAGTTGCTGTACCGTATTTTCCGCACTATAAGGCGGAACTTAAAGCATTCAATTTTCTCAAACGCCGACAGTGCGCCTCATAATCCGATTCGCCTCATATATGGATCAATATTAAGATTTTAAATGTTCTGTAAAGCGCTTTGTTACAGCTGCAGCGGTTGTGAAAGCTCGATATCAGTCAAGCTGTATTGTATTGAATTCCCTTTAGAATATCGCCATCCAGTGGATGCATAACGCAACCGCAGCCACTATTGTAGCTTCTATTCAAATAGGCGAGGCAGTTGTAACTCCGCCTGGTAGTTGCAACTCAGTCTTTTTAAAACCAAATCCCATCCAGTCAAAGATGGTGAAAGCTTAATGTGATGTGTGCACGTTAAACAGCTTACAACTGCTGTTTGAATGATGACATGCTATTCTAAAATGGACTTTTTGCTTCTGCACTGATGTTCTATTAGGAGGAGCAGTGGAGCATCATGAGGCCCGCGTGTGTTCACCCACAGCGGGATACCTGTAATGATCGACACCCTGACAACACAGCATGAACGCGAGGAGGTGGAAATAGACAAGACGGTGGAGAGTGAAACAGAGCGCAGCATTTGGCTGGTTGAATTGCCACATCCCACTTAAGTATCTTTGCTCTGTTGCTTTAAGTTTATTTGAAACCATGGTGATTTTGGTGGTATTTTAGGTTGTGTGCAATTTTTGTTCATTTTCCTGAGGAGACGCTGAACACTTTGTTCGGAGTAATATTCTCCATTCGGAATTGATTAGCCTATTAATGATATGTACGCTGAAAAATACAAAAGTTGATTCCCAAAATGACTGCTGTATTTTTGAACTTCAGTTTCACTTTAAACACTTAGCATATTCATTTGAGCCAACATGAATTTGAAATGTTGCGTTTTCATTTTTTGGAATGCATATCTCTCCCCCCCCACCATTCGCACATTGCGTGGGGGCAGCGCGGGGTCGGTTCCCACTCAGTGATGATGCGGGTGGGAATGTTCGTTCATCTCTATATGTGCCCTGCGACTGACTGGTGACCAGTTCAGGGTGTAGTCCACCTTCCGCCCGAAGTCAGCTGGGATAGGCTCCAGCACCCCCCTGTAACCCTGTTCAGGATAAGCGTGATTGAACATTAATTGCATTACTCTAAATTGGTTTGTTTTTGTCAGGATGTCAGGAGAATATAAACGGAAATAGCTTGTCCCAAAAGGACGTATATAGAGTGGGAAATGTATTATGGAAAAACGAAATACAAAGTACTGTATATTAAAAGCATACATCTGGTTAGGAAGTGCGTATTCTTATGTGGGCACTGATGAAAAATTGTGGCCCCCTCCATAATTTAAATTGCCCATCCCTGCTCTCAATTGTCCACAGGCGTGAGTCAGAATGTGCCCTGCATTCAGCTGGCGATCAGTTTCGGCTTTTCACAGCGTCTTGCCCCAAAATCAGTGGGCATATAGGTCCCAGCTCATCTGAAAATAGAAAATGGATATTTATATGATTTTTTTTTTCCTTTATTGGTCGAGAGAAATCATAAGATTCTACTCCCTGCGGAGGCAAGTCTGGTATTATCAAATATAATTGCTTACCATTTTAAATGGTACCTGTGCTCTTGCTTAGAATGAATTTTGTTTGTTTTGCACCGTGGTGCTCAGAGAGCTATTCATCATGGAAATTATTGTGAGTGCAACAAAGGTTAATTCAGTTCAAATATATAATCTACTTTGTAATGGAGTTGACGGTTTTATTACTTCGGTTGTTGTGGAGTCAGTGGAATATCTGAAACTCGCAGTTAATGAATAGATGTAACTGGCTGAGTATATTGAGGTGTGCGTATTTGATTTAAAGACGTTATTAAGTTGTGGAAATGCTTTTAAATTGGCTTGCTGCATATATTTGTAGTTATGGCAACTGTACCTCTGTTATTGATGGCTTGAAATGGAACTTTTCGAAAAAAAAGAAAGAAATCACACAAATGCAAAGACCAGCAAAATGAAGATTCATTACTTAAATTGCAGTCGCTGCTTCCGCATTTCTTCCCTATGATCACCATTTAATTTCCTGGCATTTTAAAGGAAACCGTGTTAATACTCGGACTAGACTTTGGGTGAACTGAGTTGTCTCTGTCACTTTTACAGTGTATGTATGCATGTACTGTATCTATCTATATGTCCATCCATCCATTCTATGAAAAGCTCATGAGAAAAAAAATCAGTGGTTATTTTGGTGGTAAAGTCATTTGGAAAGTGTCTACTGGGCTGCCAGCCAGTGATCCTCAGGTGAGTAGTACCGGTACTAAGGCCTCACTTTATCACCAGCTTGTGTGTGTGTGCGCGTGTGTGTGTGTGTGTGTGTGTGTGTGTGTGTGTGTGTGTGGGTGTGCGT